TACGCCTTCGCTGTGTCCCAAATAATTTGTACCGATGTTTGTTCTTTTGTGTTTTCTTTAAAGAAATAATCCATTTCCCTTTTAGTCTGTACAATAAATTCTTTTTCCTTCAAAATATAAGAATTCATTACCCATCTTTTTCTTACTTTTTTACAACCTTTCCAAACTATTTCCAGCAGATTATGATCTGCCCATACATTTGGTTTTATTTCTATAGTCTCTATATCCTGTCCCAATTCTTCATTTACCCATACCATATCTATTCAAGACCATGACTTATGTGGGTTTGAAAATAATGTATCTCCTTTTTTCCCTTGATTTCTCTTTCTCCACTGATCCGATAGATTAAGTTCGTGTGCTAGATCAAAGAAGGTCTTTGGTAATATTTTCCTTTTCTTTTTTTTTCTTATCACTAATGTAATCTTTTTTTGCATCCACCATCGCATTATAATCACCCACAATACAAATATTTAAATGACCCAATTCTATCAATTTCTCATGTAATTTATAATAAAAATCGTATTGGTTCTCATTTGGTGCATATATAACTATTAACAACCAGGTTTTCTGTTCACTTTGTATTTCTATTATCAATACCCTTCCATCTGTATCTTGATATTTTAAGTTTGCATTTATCTCTTTTTTAATATAAACTGCTATTCCTCTTTGCTTTTGTTCAGCTAATGCTGTATATAGTGATCCTAATTTGGGAAACTCTAAATATTTCCTATGTTGCTGTTTAATATGTACTTCTTGTAAGCAGACAATGTCTATGTGTTGTTTGGCTAGTTTTGTTAACATTTGTTTTCTCTTTACCGGTGCGTTTACTCCATTAATATTAATAGATAATAACCTAATTTCCTTTTCTATTTTCTACTTGTGTGTTTTACTTGTGAGCTTGTCTTGTTCTAGGGCCTGTTCCTTTTTCCTTCCTCTGTCCATTTTCTCCCTTACTTTCTGTTCCTCGTTCTCTTTCCCTAACTTCTTGTTGTTGGTCTTCCTGGCTTTTGGATTCCAATTCTTCCTTACTACTGTTCTCTTCCTCAGTTCCTTCCAATTGATCAAAAAATTCCCGGGCTTTCTCTAGATTATCTATTTTAATCTTCCTCTCTCCCCATGTTATCAACATTCCTTCCGGAATTAACCATCTAAAGCAGTGGTTCTCAACCTTTCTAATGCCGCGACCCCATAATACAGTTCCCCATGTTGTGGTGACCCCCAAGTGGGTGTGGCCACCAATAAGAGGGAGTAGGACAGCTAGGAAAAAGGGAAAAAAATGGCGGACAGTGTGGTTTGGCGACCCCCATGAAATGGTTGTTTGACCCCAAATGGGGTCCCGACCCACAGGTTGAGAACCACTGATCTAAAGGGTATACTTTTTTTTATTAAATAGGAACTGAGGAATCTATAATCCCTTCTTTGATCTCTTATCCTTTTCGGTGTCTGTTTTAAAGTTTGTATTTCTACACCTTTATAGATCATTGGCTCTTCCCTTGTAATTTTATAAATTATATCTCTCACCCTTTTTCTGGCAAACCTAATGTATACCTCTCACGGGAGTCTATTACATCTAGCATTTGTCTGAATTCTATATGTTTCATCTATCTCCGTTAGAATTTCTTGCTTGTCCCTTTGCAATGCATCAGAAATCAAATTTGCCATAATATCCCCCAGATCTTCTTCCTTCTTCTCTATCACATTTTGGAAGCATAGATAAAATGCCGCCTTATCCATTTCCAAATAAATAATTGCTTCCTCTATTTTTTTATTGGAAGCTATCATTTCTGTGTCTAACATGTCAACTTTTTTCACAACATTATCTAATCCCACTTCTACTGATTGAATTCTTGCTTCATTTTTTCCATCGTTTGTTGTATCATTTCAACTCTATTGTCCAATTTATTTATATCGCCTCTCATTTCCACATGATTTTTTGATATAGTCTCTTGCATTTTTAACATTGTTTCTTGGATACTTGCATAGTTTGCATATTAGCTATTGCATTTTGTTTATCTGTGCCAAACACTCCTTCTATTGTTCTTTGGCCAGGTGGGGATGAAGGTGTCAATGTTAAATTTGATACCATTTTTTTCCTGTCCTCAATGTTGCCATAATTATCTCCTACTTCTCTAGAGTTCTAAATATTCCTTTAATTAACCAAAAGCTTAATTAACTTTATTTTAATTTTAAACTTCTCTTTCCTCAACTTCTCTGAACTTTCCTCCACTACCCCAATTACTCCAACCTCTCTCTACCTTCTCAAACTTTCTTCACTTTCTTATTCTTTCTTACTTATTTAACCAACAATTTTTCACAGTTATATAGTCCGTTTTTATCTCTTCTCAAACCTCATCTACTCTCCTGATACTCCCAACGTCATCTTCCGTTGTCTCCTTCCCTTCTGTTCACGCTCGTCTTAATTAATAGCACCGTCCCTGTCAAGCTATAAATCTTCCAGCCTTGTCTATCTCTCTTTCCACCTTCGGATTTTTACAGCAGACCACGCTTTTCCGTAACTGGCAGCACCTTACTTCAGATCTTCAGACCCTTCAGGTTTGTCTCAAGCTTTTCTCCAACCGCTTTTTAATCGCTGCTTCATTCTTTCTAAACCTCCATTTTCTTTCAACTCACAATCTTCTCTATCCAGTTCTCTCGATCCACAGGCTCTACCAGCTTCAACTTTGTCACGATCTCTCAACTCCCAGCTTCTTCTTCAAACCTCTCCCTCTTCTGCGCTCACAGATTTAATACACTATCTTTCTTTGTGTCTTCCTTCTATTATTTAATCTCCTGGTTCTTTAGATCTGTCGATTCACAGCTCCCCTGCCGGGTCGCCGCTTGTGTTGAGGATTCCCTCACCGATTGAGCTTCCTTTCAACGCCCGTCCTAATAGACACTTAAATCTTGTTAGACTCTCCTCATATTCTTTACTATTAGAAATATTATAGGCTATTACAGCTTACTACTTAGCACCGTCTGTTAGAATTCTTCTTGCTTCCACATCATCTGTGGCTTTATTAGGGCCTCAGATCCGCCATCAGCTGATGGCAGAAGTTTCCATGTTGAATTTAGGAGGTTTTCTTCATCCTAACGGGTGATCGCCTTTCGCCTCGTTATTCCTCCGGCATCCCCCTTTCTCACGCGCTGTCCTCCAGACTTCCTCGCACCCCCAAAGGATCTCCAAATGTGGAAAAATCAGAGGTAGGTGACAGAGATTGTCTCCTTACCTCCGCACCGCCCTGATGTCACCCCAGCATTTTGTTGACTTTCCTTTTCTGCAAGCACTGGCAGGAATAGCCAACACCCCAGAAGATAAGCTCTATCTAACAAAATGAAATTCAATATAGAGAAAAGCAAGGTTTTAGACTTACACAAGAAAACCAAATGCACAGGTATAGAGTAGGTGGTACCAGGCCCAACAGTAGTAACTGTGAGAAAGATCTTGGAGTCCTAGTGGACAGTCACTTAAATAGCCAGCAGTATGCTGCAGCTGTCAAAAAAGCCAATGCAATCCTAGGCTGCATTAATACAGGGATAGAATCAAGGTCATTATTACCACTTTATAAGGCCTTGGTAAGACCACACTTGGAATAATGCATCCAGTTTTGGTCACCACAATATAGAAAAGATGTTGAGACTCTGGAAAGAGTGCAGAGAAGAGCAACAAAGATGATTAGGGGACTGGAGGCTAAAGCATATGAAGAATAGTTACAGGATTTGGGATGTCTAGTCTAGAGAAAAGGGTGACATGATAGCAGTGTTCCAATATTTGAGGTGCTGCTACAAAGAAGAGGGAGTCAACCTATTTTCCAAATCACCAGAAGCAATGGATGGAAACTAATCAAGGAGAGATGCAACCTAGAACCAAGGAGTAATGTCATGATAGTGAGAACAATAAACCAGTGGAAGTTGTAGGTGCTTCATTACGGGACGCTGTTTAAAAAGAGACTGGACAGCCACTTATCTGAAATGGTATAGGGTCTCCTGCTTGTGCAGGCAGTTAGACTAGGAGACCTCCAAAGTCCCTTTCAACTCTGTTATTCTGGCATTCACTTTTTAGCTCATCCTGAGCCTTCAGCTTCCTGTTTCCATCCTTGCAGATTAGGGCTGTTTTCCGATATTCAGCTTTTATTACAGGGCCCTCTTTCTAATCTTGAAAATTGCCCTTTTTGTTTTTCAGTTTATCTGAGAGCTTTTGCTGCAATCATGCCTTTTTCATCTGGTTTCTCCCACCTTTTCTCTCATTCTCTCTTTGGCATTATTTGTCTGGCCTCAATTATTTCATTCTTCACAATTTCCCAATTTTCCTGAAATATTGCCCTTCCCTTCTCCTCTTGAATCATCAAAATGGCTAAGCCTGGATTAGAGTTGGATGCTGCAGCCCTGTAGAAGAGCAGGCTGCTTAAAAAAATTGCAGGCACCTGTGCTATTTCCCGCCCATCTAAGTTTTTTTTCCCCAGCCTCATCTCAGCAGGGTTGCCAAAAAGTAGCAACCTTGACACAGATGTGGATGGAAAAGTATTTTGCAATTCCATCCCTTTATAAAAGAAAGCACCTTGTCCAGGGTCCAGTGCTTTTGTGCCTCAAGTTTGAGTTGGTTTTATTGGGTATGATTTAAAAAAGTACCTGTGACAAGCACAAGTTGCCATTTGAAGTGTGATGGAAAACCAATTTTCAAATGGCTGATGTGGGCTCACTACCTTGGTTCACACATTACTACTTGAATCAAACTGTTATGGTAAATTTAATAAACTGGTTAAACAAACAATGGATTAGCACAAAATGAAAACTGAGCCATTGTCGGCAAATTACAGGTATTCATCAAAGGGCACATTGATGGTCTTTGTTAGCCTGCCTGGTAGGTTCCTGACCCTTCTGCAGTTGGGTTTTGCTTGCCCTCTTATGTCTCAAAACTGTTTCATAAACTCTTCATTGAAAAGCCTGGCAAAGTCATGGGATTTCGGTTCTTAAACCTGAATAATTGGTGAGAAGCAGAAAGAGCCAGGCAGTATCAGGATCAACTTTAATATATCACAGATCTCCAAATTCTTAAGCTGACAGCTGATTCTAGAAAATGGAGGAAACAGAAACTAAAAACACATAAAAGTTCCTTTTTGAAAGACAGTTTTCATAATTGAAAAGATTAATTTCATTGAAAAGTCAAATAACCAATATCCTTTAACAATTTTCCAGAAGTTACTTACAAATTTTCAGTGTAAGACTTCTTGACTGCAACCGAAAAGCTGCATTTTCTACCTAAGAATGCTCACTTCCCCCGGCCATTGGATTTTTTTAGATAGACACTAAAAGTCAAGGACAGGTAAGATTATCAGACATCCAGCAAAAGGTTGACATATCCCTCTACCCCTGTAGATAAAATTTTCAATAAAAATTTATTATGATTAGATGTTTCCATTTTCTCCTCATGAAATTAACCCTCTAAATCTGCATCTATCGGTGTGTGCTTCTATTTTGAAGATAAAAGAAAGCAGGATCAAAAAAGTCTTGCATTACATCCTCAAACACTAGATTTATTCACTTTTGTTTGCTGGACTCTTCACTTGCAGAGATGAACTTGAATAGGTGATGCCCGGTTGAAGTAAGAAGCCAAAGGGTCGTTTAGCAGAAGGTGAAGTTTCAGAGCTCAGCCTTGCTTCTTGGGCCCTTTCAGAAACAAATAATATCAGAAATAAAAATCCAGTCATTGACAAACACTATATGAATTTTTAGTATAGCTATAACAGTGGAATTTAGCCTAGAGAAATGTGCTACAGTAGCAATAAAGCGTGGTAAACTCATGAACAGTAATGGGATTGAAATGCTGAGTGACCAGGAGCTAACAGGATGAAGTCTACAAGTATCTTGGGCGTTTTTCAGTTGGATAACATCAAGCATGGACAAGTTAAAATTGTGATTAGTAAAGAATGTATCCAAAGAGTGAGAAAAGTGCTAAAAATAAATCAAAGCTATCAATACTTGGGCCATACCTGTGATACAATACCCTGCTGTAATTATTCACTGGACTAAAATGGACAAAAAATATGAAAACTCTTTAAGTATTCACCATGCATTACATCCCCATAGTGATATTGATAGACTAGACCAGGGCTTTTCAACCTTTTCACATATTATACCATTTTAGGACATGGCAATATTCGAGCACCACCAGTGGATAAGCAAGGTGTCAAAAACTGGATGACCAATAAAAAAGGAAAAAAGTGGTAAAAGTACAACCATTCACCATACTTCTAATGGAAAACTTGTGCCTATTTCTCTGACTATCTTTGTACTCGTGGCTGGAGAGTGCTCACTGATAGAATTAAGTCAGATTCCAGCTGAAGACAGTTCCTTTCCTTACTTTTTAGTTAATGGAAAAAATACCTTCTCGCACAAGTATGTGGAACCAAATGGCAGTAACACTACAAAAGTTCCCCCCCCCCCATTTCCAGTACAGTTTTGTAACTTGGTTCCAGAACTCGGTCAATGTTTTTTCATTAAAAAGTTCCTTCAAATTGCAGTTTGATGTCAATTCTAGAAGTGCTTCCTGCTCTCCAGAGGAAAAGTCAGAGTTCACAACATTGTCCATGATGAAGGTCAGTGCAACCCAATGAATTCCAGTATCACATCCTCTTGACATGAATGGAAAATACAACGCAAACTCATTGTGCAATTTTTCCAAGTGATTTTTGATGGTAATTTCAATGTCTTCAGTGTCAACAACAGAATTTAGTTCAATAAAGTCTGACACATTGAGAAATGACGCACTATTTCCTTTCTTTACTTGGCCTACCAAAAGGAAGATTTTCTTGTAGAATGCACAAACTTTGTCTTCCATGATAAACACGTTATGACCATGGCCCTGCAGCCAATTAAGTTAATTTAGCTTTTTTAATATGTCAGCCAAATAGCCAAGGCAGGACACCCAGAAGACATTTTCAAACTTTTCTGCTAGGGGTGATGAAACATTCATCAGGAACAGGTGCGTTTCATCTCATAGCTTGAACAATCTTGATAATGTTTCACCTCTCGACAACCAACATACTTCTGTATGAAAGAGAAGAGTGCTATGCTCAGAATCTAAATCCTCTCATAATTGTCGGAATAAACTTCCGTTCAATGGCCGGGTTTTGAGGAAATTTATTATTTTTGCAGCATCCTGCAAAATCTCATGTAACAATGGGCTCATCCATTTAGAAGCAAGTGCATGTGTATGCAAGATGCAATGATTTGAAACAATGGAACTGTTTCATGTCTTTCTTGTGCTATCGTGCTCAAAGATGCTGCACCATTGGAACAAATTGCTACACACCAAGTCCATAATATTCCATGTTCACTGAAAAAGTTATTGATTATTGTGAATGTTTCTTCCCCAGTCATTCTGCTAGGTAGTGGGTGGCAAAATAATACGTGTTCCAGTATATTATTCGAATCAGGAACATGCACAAAGACAATTGCGCTTCACCAGCAATGTCAGTTCTTTAGTCCAATTGAAATGCAAATTTTTCTGCTGCTGTGATCTTTTCCACCACTTGTTGAGTAACATCTGCAGCCATATTTTGTACTACTACTACTACTACTACTACTACTACTACTACTACTACTACTACTACTAAAGTTGGAAGGGACCTTGGAGGTCATCTAGTCCAACCCCCTGCTCAGGCAGAAAACCCTATATCATTTCAGATAAATGGCTGTGATCTTTGGACGGTGTTGTCAAAGCATGGAATAGCACCAGCCATTTTTTTCATCAAAGAAAATTAAAGCAATTGCAATGGCAGAGGAAACCACAACTTCTTCACCAGTTGTTTATTGCTAAAAAGATATTTAAAAACAATAAAAACAACTATTTACAATGTTAAAAGAAACAACTTAGCTTTTGCTGGTCCCCTGCCAGCATCCTCAAAGTGGGGCTCAGGCGGTGGGGAGATGCTTTTTATACACCCTGCTGGTCTAACTGCTTACTCATTGCCCGTGTGATAGGGCCATTCCTCCTAATTACTGTAATTGCCTTGGTTTCCACACTTTTCCCCTCTCTCATCCTTGTCAATCTCCTCCCTCCCAGCACCGTTGCTGCTGGTGTGCTCTCTAACCGCTCCCTCCTACTCATTCCATTCAGATCCAGTGTTCCAAAAGGCTTGCCATCAGAGCTCCCTTCCTTTCTGGCCCGTTGGTCTGCACGCTGTTCCTGCCTGTTGTCATCCATTCCTGTCAGTCTTTTTTTCTCCGATTTCCCTCCACCCCTGGGTGTGCGAACGCTCCATCGTGCCTCATCCTTCTGCTCTGTCTGCCCACAACCGGTGGGGATGCCTATCGGTTTGCTCTTAGGCTCAGCCCTTCTCATCCTCGTTAGCCTTATCTCTCCCAATTTCCTTTCATACCTGGCTGTGCGTGCGCACAATTGTGTCTTGTCTCTCTGCCCCGTTTGCCTAAGGTCAGCTGGACTATCCACTGGCTCCTCTTTAAGTCCAACCTCCCCCCTTTTTTATCCCTTTCCCCCTCTTGCCTAACCCTGTCTTGTTTGGTATCCCTGTCCTACGTATTTTGGGTCGTACAGTCAGGTCTGGCATTCCCAATGCCCCCTCATTGTCACCTCCCCCCTGCGACCCTTTGCCATGCTCACTTCCTCCCTCCTTTTCACCCCATCCATGTATCCATGATTCCAATATTTCACCATCCATCCCTATCATCCCTATTCCCTCCAAATCCTTTCTTTGCCTAGCCATGAGATGACTGCCTTCCCTGGTTCTCGTTCTGCCTCTGATAAGCACCATCCACATCCTGACTTGCTCCTCGTGTATTTTTAATGTCTGGTATGCCGGGGGGCAATTCCATGCATCGATTGATTGAATCCATGTTGGAGAGCCAGGCCTCCTTCAGCAGGCATCCTCCTTTGGAGGCATCCTGGGCGATGGCTTCTGCTTCCAGAATAATGAACAGAAATTGGCCGTCAGAAGGCAGGAGCAGTATTCCCAAATATGGAATATCCGTTGGCCGTCTCCCCAGTTAGACCAGCAAGGTGTATAAAAAGAATCTCCCCACCCCCTGAGCCCCACTCTGAGGACGCTGGAAGGGGACCAGCAAAAGCTAAGTTGTTTCTTTTAACATTGTAAATCACTCATCTCCAGAACAAAATGCTTAGCTGATGAACAACACCTAAAAACCGAACTACACACTCTCACTAATGTACTAACATCCAACGGATTCCAAAGAAATAAGATTATCAACCTAATCCAAAAAGAAACCCCCACTAAAATCCAAGACAGAGAACAAGAAAACGGCAAAGCCCTCCTCCCATACATAAAAGGCACCACAGACAGAATCAGCAAGATCCTCCACAAACACAACATCAAGACAGCATTCTGCACAAACAGAAAAATATCCACTATCCTAAGAAACCCCAAAGACAAAATTGAATTAGAAAATCAAGGAGTATATGAAATCCCATGCACTGCTTGTCCCACCACATACATCGGACAAACCAACAGAAGAATAAGTGCACGCATTGAAGAACACAAGAACTCAGTCAAAAGAGAGGAATCAACTTCTTCCCTGGTCCAACACCTTAAAACCACAGGACATGAAATTGACTTTAAAAAGACCAGAACTATCGCCAAAACTGAACACTTTAATAACAGAATAATCAGAGAAGCCATTGAGATAGAAAAACGCCCACACAGCATGAATATACGAGATGATACCTCTCACCTACCAGTCATTTGGAAACCCGCCCTTATTGACAAATGAATCCCTAACACAAAGAATGACACCAGACCCACACTCACGAAAACCACACAGGATGTCACCACCACACATCCACGCAAAAAGCAAACCCAAACCCACACCGATGATGAGGCATGACCACAAACCAGAAGTCAGACCACAGCTGCATCATTAGCCACTTTAAACCCCTCCAATCCATGCCTGAAGCAAACTGACACCCACCATGAAGATGAGGCACAATCACGAATGCGAAGCCAAACAATAGCAATGTAGCTCACCATCTCACATCCCCCTGCAACTCAGACTAACCTGAGCACAACAAAGCCCCCACCCAAACAGAACATTCTCCCATCCAGTCAGAGCACAGCCAACCCCCCCCCATCCAATCAGAGCACAGCCAAGTCCCTAACCAATCAGAACACACCTCCACCCAATCAGAACACAGCCAAGCTCCCACACAATCAGTTCATACCCCCACTGGCAGTTAAAAGGAAGAAACAGCTACGATCACACATTGCTCCTAGAACAGTGGTTCTCAACCTTCCTATTGCCATGACTCTTTAATACAGTTCCTCATGTTGTGGTGACCCCCAACCATAAAATTATTCCAGGGTCATGTGATCACCTTTTGCAACCTTGTGACAAGCAAAGTTAGTGGGGAAACCAGATTCACTGAACAACCATGTTACTAATTTAATCTCTCTCCCTCTTTTTTTCTCTCTCTCTCCCTCTCTCTCTCTCCCTTTCTCTTTCCCTCTCTCCTTTTCTTTCTCCCTCCCTGTCTATTTCTCTCTCCCTTTCTCTCCCTCTTTCTCCCTTTCTTTCTTTCTCTCTCTCTCCCTGTCTCCCTTTCTCTCTCTTTCTCTCTCCCTCTCTCTTCTTCTCTTTCTCTCTCTCTCTCCATCTCCCTCTCTTCTCTCTCCCTCTTTCTCCCTCTCATCTTT